GCTCCAAAGGTTCTCAATAGGATTGAGGTCAGGGGAGGATGGAGGCCACACCATGACTTTCTCTCCTTTTATCCCCATAGCAGCCATTGATGCAGAGGTATTCTTTGCAGCATGAGATGGTGCATTGTCATGCATGAAGATGATTTTATTACAGAATGCATAGTTCTTCCAATGATTCCGGCCCAAAACATGACTCCACCACGCTTAAGTTTTTGTGAAATATCTAATGTTTTCATACCTCGTCCAAGGCATTGAACTATTTCACTCTTTTTGGCAGCAGAGAGATCCTTTTTCTTCCCCATATTGCATGAAAATGGTGCTCTGCTTAATAATGTGGAACACCCTCCTTTAGTAGTTTTTCCTTAAATTGGGCTCACCTGGCAATCTAATTATCACAGGTGTCCGAGATTGTTTTCAGTGATCAAAAGAGCCCTGAGACACAATGCCATCCATGAGTTAAACTGAAAAACAAAATATTTAATCTTTGTGACACTTAAATAGAATTTGCATAATAATTTGGAACAGGGTGTATATGTAAACAAGAGTGCGCATTGAGTTGTACATATATGTATTATTACCTTTGCAGAACAGTTGTATGTCTAAGCTGCCAGAGGGCCAGGCAATTGTCGATAAGAAGGCCACTGGGAGAAGGTAGGTCAGAGGCAAGTTGATCTTATAGGACCCAACTATGATACCAGTGTGCCAACCTGCAGCTCAAAAACACAGCGTGCAAATAGACATCAAGCCTTGCAATGACAGGAAAGACCCATGGGTAGTGTTTTTTTAAAACAATTACGCCTAAATCTAGTAGCAAATGCTGCTACTGGTTAAGTCATAAAAACATGTACAGTTGTAATCAGAATTATTCAACCTTTGTTGAAAATCAGGTCTATAGTTAAAAACTTCTGACTTTTCTGTTTGCAAAGAACAAATCAAACAAAAGCAATTGACTTCTGGTGACTATAGTGTCCCTTTAATGCACACGTGGAAATACACAAGAAAACAAAAAACAGTATGTGACATGGCTGTGGCGGAAATGTTTTTCCCTTTTCCATTTGGAAGTTATTGTATACGAACCTACTCCATTCTTCTCCCGAACGAGGACCACCCCATACCCCATTAGAACATTCCCACCAGCAACTTAAGTGCAAAACCGCAAGGGAAGTAATTAATGAAAGCTTCCCCGGATGGCCGCCATTTCGTATAACCAAATGCACGTGGTCGACAAATAATGGCGGCCATTTGGTCTCCCGAATGTGGGCAGCGGCACTTGGTCGACGAGTGCCTGGAATTCTTTTTAGCTAGGCACTCGCACTAACCCCGATAAAGATTAGACTGCTGCCCATTCTACTTCCTGACCAACTGTGCAAACGACGTTCAAGAGATATGAACTACCTAACAGGGGGAGCATTCGTATCCTGAAATTAAGAGAACGTGTTGCACAGTGTTCGCAAAGGAACCCCCGAACAGAGTGTCAAAACTTTACTTCATTGGCATTCCAGTTTCACCAAACTGATCTGAGTGATATGTGAATATGTTATACACTCAGATCAGGGCTATCTGGGGATAACTTTTGTGAAGTTCCTGGTTATGGTGGGGGCACTCTTGGGGTACTCTATTTTGTGTAGATTTTCTGTACCAGAGAGATAATTTAATTATGCGTTTTTCCTCAAGCAATTATCGCTCAGGCACAAAGGATCCTGGGAATGAAAACCCTGTATTTTTGTATTGGAGGCCCCATGTAGTGGTCTGTGCATATAAGTCATGTGTGGTCCAAAATAAATCAGTTGACTCCCAGAACTATGTTTTGTCTGGTTACTGGGGGAATAAACGTCTGCTTGTTTTAATGGTTCCAGTCTGGCTGAGAGAAGGAATTAGTGGAGGTAACTAGTGGGGTTACCTGTGGTCCGCTACAATGGCATAAGAGCAAGGTGTACACACCTCACAGATCTATGGACGCACAAGTGGGTTATGTTGATTCTGAGAACTTGTTATACACAAGTCCGGGACAAATGGGTTACAAACTATTTCTGTCAATTCATCAGAGACAAAGAATTGGCTGCATTGTGAATCCCACTGGGGTATTACAAATTGGGTTATGGACATGGATTGATGATGACTACATGCATGTCTACTTATGGGGTGCAGGAGGAGAAACATAACCACTGTCTAGAGGACAGCGCTGCATTTTCTAGGGACCATAGAACCCTTGTATACAAAGGCATTCTTTTAGGCAAATTTTACTTCTTATTTGACTGTAGTGTAAAGGTTTGGGGGAGGGGTTAGTCAAGTTTGATAACATTCACAGTGCGGATATTAAATGATTTTTTCTTTTTTTTGTATGATGACAAAGATGCAGTATTACAATGCAGAGACAAAGCCTTAGAACCTAAATATGATAGCATGTGTCCCTTCACTGTATAGTTTAATAACAGGGCATTCACTCCACAGATGTAACCAAATGCTTGGGGGCTAAGCAACAATGCCACCATTTTTCATCTGTTGCCTTAAAAAGGTTATGGCATGCAATAAAGTCTTGCACACTGTAGTCTGTTGGAGAGGATACATGTTAAATTCAAGCAATCACACTTTCCCCATGGTGGTTTACCTATTCAAAAGCCATACAGGGTGTGGAGTGCTTTCCACTCACTATCCAGCAATCAATGGCATGTTTAGAATAGAAAAAAAGTATCTGGATATGGCAATAGATGCGTTGGGGATAGACATTAAGGTATATTTGCCAAAATTAAGTAGGGTTTAATACAGGGGTACAAGCAAGGTCATCCATATGATATGAAGTATGTGATTAACATGTAAACATTTGAAAGCAGTGCATATATTTACTTATTTCGTCCTCTATCCAATCATCAACTCCAACATGGTTGTTAGGGAGATTATGGGCTTGGGAATCAGAGATTGTTATAATTGTCTAAGTCAGATTTTGGTGGTCGCCTACCCCACCATTTATATCGAATCACCATTATTCGTAAAAAAGTAATCTATGCAAGAAAGCAACTGGAATGGTGTAAAGTAATATACAGCAAATGAGCCAAAAGGCTGCTGCCTACCTTTTATTATTGCACTTTGTATTAAGAGGTCTGATGTGTGCCAAACAACACCTTCAGCCAATGGCACAAGTAAAGATGGGATGCTTAAGCAAAATTCTGACCTTCAAACCTGCCTCATTCTTCCCCTTCCCCCCCCTCTCAACAGGTCTCCCTACATCACCATATTTTGTTAATCATGTACACAAGGTAAATTCCTCTTTCAAATATTAGCCAACAGAAGTGGAATTTATATGGCTTGCATTTTATTTTTTTATGCGTTATTAGCTAGGATTGACCACATGATTGCTGTATTATGGATAATGGACTTATACCTTTGTGGTTGCCCTAGCTGTCTTCATGTCAGTATTATGAGCAGGCTAGACACCTCAAAGACATATCTACAAGTAAGGCATTTTTCTAACCTAGAATGCATAAAGCTGCTTTTTGGCTTCTCTCCCTTAATCTGCTACATTACTTAATAAACTGCACACTTTAATTTGAATAATTTCTGAATACTTTATTATATTTGCCAGGTTTACCTCTCTCTTCCCAGTGATCTCCTTTGAATTTTTGTTCCAGCTCACATTTCTCAAGGCGCCCAGCCAGGGAGTATTAAAGGGCCATTGACCATTGTTTTTGTTTGTTTTTTTAAACCAGAAAACCCCATCAAATATACAAACCAAAAAAAAAAAAACAGAAACCTAGAAAAGTAGGTTAATGTAGCTTAATGTAGTTGTTCTGGTAAGTATAATATTTCCCTTCAGGCTTATTCATGCAAACACTGCCTTTTCAAGCTCCGCATGAAGACGCTAACTTTTCCTCATAGAGATGCATTCTCTATGAGGAGGTCCTGATTGGCCAAAACGGCATTTGACCTCGCCCCCGTGCCGATTTGAGCTAATCCAATGCTTCCCTTTTTTTCATTTAACAAAAAAATACAGATTAGATTAGAAGAGTCAGCTGTCAGACAACAGGTCCTATTATTTCCTAGTTTGTTTACTTCAGTAAAGCTAAACTCAAGAGGCAAACTATTTCTCAGAGCAACTGCCTTGCAAAGACTTCTAATTGAGCTGCATTTGGAAGTCTGTGATTGGACAGCCACCGAATGTCTGGGCTGTTAGAAGGGGAGGGTTTGCAAAGGCTTCAGATATGTGATCTGCAGCTTTTGCAAGCTGTTAGATAAACCCTTAATGGAAAAATGCAGAATAAAATGCATGCAGGTTTTTATTAGGGTATATCTACTATACAGTGATATTTAATTATGCAATGGAGTGTCCCTTTAAGAATGATAAAGTTAAAATAATTGTTGTAAGCAGGTTAACCATCACTGGTACAGCTAAAAAATGTTATTCCCTACAAAATGGCATGTAACGTTAATGATTTTTATATAGCTGCCTGAAAAATACTTGATCTAACAGGTGAAAACAATGGTGATATTGTGATGGAATTCCAGTAAAATACAAGTTTAGCAGGCCAAGCTTGCCACAAGGCATATGTAGGTACATGTGTTTGTAGTATCAGTTAGTTAGTTACACGTAGCTAAGATACTGTCATCACTGTACTGAGCATGTGCAGGAATGCAGGAACTGGAATTACGCGTCCCTCTCCTTTGTTTCATATGAGCCACGTGGTTAGACCAGATGGATGAGTTTAGACTCTATTCATTGATTAGGTTAAGGGTATGTGTGGGTGTAGCTAATTATGGGAGAAGCTACAGTGCTATATAAGGAATGTACTCTATGTATTCAGTACTCAGATCTTTGCTGTTTTTGGTGACATAAGTCCCTCTGAGTCCCGGTCGGTGAATCGAATAAAGATCTCTTCCTTCCTGAAGAAACCTGTGTCCATCTCTCTGTGCTTGGCCTCCATCAGTTTCCCGGTAACAATATGAAACACATTTAAACCAAATTAAAGGTAGTTTGTATTATGTTGAAAGAAAAGATACAACACACATTAAGAAGGTAAGTTCATTTAATATACACACACAGTCTTTTTGTTTTTACTTACATTAAATACACTGGTAGATCAGGGGTAGAAGTCCATTCTGATTATGACTTAAGTTAGATTGTGTTTGTTTCTTAAAACAAAGAACTAAAAAGCACATTAAAAGTAGGAGCATTCTAAATTGAATAATTGCAATGTACCAACGTGGTCCAGATTCCAGCCATATACCCATATGCTGTTTTAGGTGACATAAGTCCCTCTGAGTCCCGGTCGGTGAATCGAATAAAGATCTCTTCCTTCCTGAAGAAACCTGTGTCCATCTCTCTGTGCTTGGCCTCCGTCAGTTTCCCGGTAACATCTTTGGTGCATTGGCCGGGAAGCTCGTCGTTAACGGTGGCTAGGAAGCAGAGGCATGAGACGGTCTATCTTTGCCCACGTTCTCTACGGCTGCACCCCTGAACTTCTGCGTGGACCTCCCTTCGTCTCGGCGCCACTGGTCTGTTGTCCAGGAGATCATCGGCCTCTACGTAGTAAGTACTGGCTTGTCCCCGTCGATGAGTGTGAACTCAGGTTCAGGAACGAGGAGGTAAGACGACTACTGTTTTAGACAGTGGACCCACTAGGGGTATTGGATACCGATTGTGCGGTAGGCCCATAAGGGGTTTGAATTGGAATTGTGTATGGAATTGGCCCCCTCCAGGGAGGGAAGGAGCGAAGGCGCACCGCTCATAATTAGACGCCCTGTAGTCAGCCCGTCTAATCTTGGTATGGAGTCAGGCTGGGTCTTGGTTGAATGTATATAGCCCAAGCCGGACACCGGTGTCTTGTCTAGACTAGCGTATCTAGGGTGTACATTTCGTTCGCTAGGTCGGAGGGACCGGGAGACTAAGCAGACTCTGGTGTACATTATCGTTTGCTAGTTCTCAACCTATCTTGGCTAAGTGGGAAGGCGTGTAAATTTGGAACCCACTAGACTATTGATAGAGTAGATAGACTAAAAGGGTATTGTTGTAAATTCCGCCCTCTAGTTCGCTATATGTGGTGCTTGGGCAGCGACGGCTAACCAAAACGGATGTAAATAGTTTTAGGTAGTCCCTCGAGGTACTGTCCAATAGATTAGTTGGGAAACTGTAAATGTGTTAAAAGTTATTATAGTAGAGTGTATATCTTGCTGGGTAGCGCGAGCTCTGTCGTCTAGCGAGTGTGTGAATAGGGTGTAACTGTATCATAGCGCACGGTACCATAACCATGTATTATAATCACTGATACTGTAAATAATGACTAATAACTGTCGTTTATGTTGTATGTTTAACACCATAACTACTATTAACTGACCTGTGACTTTAAAATTGTCTTCTAACCAATGCTAACCGTACTATAACTACTGTTTGTAAAGACGATGTTACTAGGGTGTGTTATAGCCGGGTAATTTAAATACTGAGAATTATAGCGTGGGTAATTGTATAATTTCACCAAAAAGGTACAGTAATAGTTATTTAGTGTGTGGTGTAACAGCTGTGTGTGTATGGGAATTCCCTGTATGATTTGTTGGGTGCGTTTGGCCTAGTAACTGTGCCACGTGGTGCTGTTGCCAAGGGAAATGGGTGTGACTGTTGGAAGTGTATTTTGTTTTGTTTCTATTGGAGACGATGCTCCATTGTTAAGTATGGGTGCGTTGGATTCAAAGATCGTTGATCCCTTAGATTGCATGTTAAAGAATTTTAAAAAGGGATATAATGTATGTGATTTTGGGGTAAAGATGTCTCCAACACGTTTGACTACTTTATGTAGCAGGGAATGGCCTGCCTTAGTGGTTGCATGGCCTCCACGTGGTAGTCTTGATCCTAATCTAGTGCAGCGTGTACATGTAGCTGTATCTGGTAGGCCGGAACTTTACGACCAGTTTCCATATATTGATTGTTGGAAACAGGCCGTGGATGACTTGCCAAAATGGATCAGGGTGTGCCAAGAGGAGCAATGCCGCCTCCTGTTGGCCAGAACTCGTTTGTCCACCAAGACCGTGATCACGCCCATTCTGGACACGCCCCCTGAGTCAGAGATTCCTTTACCGCCCCCTTAGTCCTCCTCTACAGGAAGAGGAAGAGGAGGTGCGGCTAGTAATGCCACTCCTCTTGCCCCATTGTCTCCTCCTACCCCATCCTCTAGCTCAGAGCCCAGCCCACGTGTTCTAAACCCTCCCCTTCCAGTACCTACCCCCACTAACTCCACCTATCCGGATTTGACGTAATTTCTGGTTCCTGGTCAGGCTCCTCCCAGCCCGGCCCGGAATATTCTGCTTACCAACCTCCCCTTCAGTAAAGAAAAAGCATCCCCCTCCCCTCGTCTTACTACCCCTCGACTGGAACCCATAACTGACCTTCCTCAACGAAGCCCCATACTAACCCGACAATTGATCGGTACCCTCCAACCCCGACATTATCAAATGCCTCTCCGATTGACACCGGGCCCGACACACATTAATGGTGAAGGCCAGTTACAACATGCCGACCCCGTATTTGTTTATGTTCCCTTTACCACTACGGATTTGTTCAACTGGAAAACCCATAACTCCTCTTACACAGACAAACCTCAAGCCATGACAGATTTGATTACCTCCATAATCCAAAATCACAATCCCACTTGGGCTGATTGCCAGCAATTGCTTATGACATTGTTTAATAACGAGGAAAGGATTCGGATTAATCAGGCGGCAATTAAAGCGCTTAAAGAAGTGGCCCGTGCACAGAATCAGGCCAACCCGGTAGCATGGGCCGCAGCTCATTACCCAAACGTAGATCTGAATTGGAATGTTAATGGTGCTGATATGGCTCACCTAAAAGCTTATAGGGAAGCCATTATTACTGGCACGAAAGCCGGAGGGAAAAAGGCGATCAATATGTCAAAGACGGCTGAGGTATTGCAGAAATGTGATGAGTCGCCCAGTGCCTTTTATGACCGATTATTGGAGGCATACCGATTGTATACCCCCTTTAGTCCAGAGGCTCCTGAGAATTCCCGGATGGTTAACTCTGCCTTTGTCAGCCAGGCTTACGGAGATATTAAAAGAAAATTGCAAAAGCTAGAAGGGTTTGTAGGGATGTCTATAACTCAACTAATGGAAATAGCAAATAAGGTTTATATGAATAGGGAGATAGAGACGAAGAAGGAAGAAGAGCGTAAGATGAGAAGGAAGGCAGATATGTTAGCGGTAGCTATCGCTGATGTAGATAGAAGGGAAAAGGAAGTGTACAGGGGAACCGAGAAAAGCGAGAATAAGTGGAATAGGGAGCCTTTAAGTAGGAACCAATGCGCATATTGTAGGGAAGAAGGGCATTGGAGGAGTGAGTGTCCATTGAGGGAACAACATGAGAGAGATAGAACAAGGGGAGGATATAGTAATAACTATAGAGGTAGAGTGAGAGGAAGAGGAGGCCCTGGAGGAAATGGTGGGAATAGTAGAGGAAGCGTTCAAGGGGATAGGTATTACCCAGCAGCGCAGAGACCGCGAGAAAGAGAAGATAGGGACTTTGTGGGTTTGGCTGACACTGTCATGGAGGACTATTGATACCGACCGGGCTCCATCCCCCTTGGTCGAGCGGAGCCTATGGTCGATGTAGCAATAGGGGGAAAAAGGAGTTCTTTCATGATCGACACTGGTGCTGAACATTCTGTGGTAACCAACCTAGTTGCTCCTCCTTCAGGAAGAACTATCACTGTAATAGGAGCAACTGGGAGGAGTGCTGCTAAACCGGTTCTCAAAAGTCGACTCTGTACACTGGGAGGCCACGTAGTGAAACATCAGTTCCTTTACATGCCTGAATGTCCAGTCCAACTTCTAGGACGGGATTTGTTGTCGAAGTTACAAGCACAGATAACATTTCTGCCTAACGGAACAACATCCTTGAAGTTTAATGGACCCTCAGGTATAATGACACTATCAGTACCAAAGGAAAAAGAGTGGCGACTTTATACAGTGGTGACAAGTCAAAACCCTAAGAGTGATGAATCCTTGTATAATATACCAGGAGTGTGGGCAGAAAATAACCCACCAGGACTTGCTCGCAATATCCCACCTATACGCATCGAACTAAAGCTTGGGGTTTATCCAGTAAGCCTGCGACAATACCAAAAGGCAAAGAAGAACATACAGTCTTATTTGGATAAGTTCATAAGGTATGGTATCCTAAAATTCTGTACTTCCCCCTGGAATACTCCATTGTTGCCTGTTCAGAAGCCTGGGTCAGATGAGTATCGTCCTGTGCAGGATTTGAGAGCAGTCAATGATGCGGTAGTAAGTATACATCCAGTTGTGCCCAATCCTTATAACCTGCTTGCCTTGATTCCGGGTGGGGCTACTTACTTTACAGTCTTAGACCTTAAAGATGCCTTCTTTTGCCTACGAATTGCTACAGAAAGCCAGTGTATCTTTGCATTCCAATGGGAAGATGCTGTAACGGGCTCGAAACGTCAGATGACCTGGACAAGATTGCACCAAGGGTTTAAAAATTCACCTACCCTATTTGGATCAGCATTAAGTCAGGACTTATTAGATTTCAAGTCCATCCCAGGAGAATGTGTACTACTACAATACGTTGATGATTTGTTGATAGCGGCAGTTACTAAAGAGATATGCCAGCAAGCAACTTATGATTTACTGCACATTCTTTGGAAGGCAGGATACAAGGTGTCCAGGAAGAAAGCTCAGTTGTGTCAGCCAACTGTCAAGTATCTGGGATTCCATATCTCTGAAGGTCAAAGGATAATGGGGCCTGAAAGAAAAGAGGCTGTATGCCAAATACCAACACCTAAGAATAGAAGACAAGTGCGAGAATTCTTAGGGGCAGCAGGCTTCTGTGGGATATGGATTCCCAGTTATGCGATACTGGCGAAACCCCTCTATGCCGCTATTAAAGGCACGGAACATGATTCCTTCCTGTGGACCATCGAACAGCAGAAGGCATTTGAGGATGTTAAGAAGGCATTGATGAGCGCCCCCGTATTAGGTCTACCTGATCATACACGTCCATTCATCTTATATGTACACGAGCAAAGAAGGATGGCTGTGGGAGTACTGACACAGTATCTGGGATCATGGCAACGACCTGTTGCATATATGTCCAAACAACTGGATGCAGTAGCCAGTGGTCTTCCTCCTTGTCTAAGGGCCGTAGCTGCCGCCACCCTGTTGGTAGCAGAAGCTGACACGCTCACTCTGGGTCAG